TCACGTTTGCAAGTGCTTTTTCTTCTCTCAACGACAAAAAAAAAAAGAAATGGCTATTTGATGGCTGTCACAAAGAGAAGACATGGAATGTAACGTTATATTTTTCAACAGCGTCACTCTGCGTGTGTAAACGTATCATAGTATACATGTACGTAAACGTTTTCCTAAAGGTCACTTGAGTCAGTGTTCTGTCGTGACTGTATACACCTCAAGATCACGGACCACCAAAATTTTCCGTACGAGTATACGTCGTTCGTCAAGTGTCAATTCATTGATACAGTACGGGGATGGCTTGTGCACTCTACCAAAGCAGAGTACCAAGTACTTGATTGATATGTGTGGTTTAACGTCCCAAAACCACCATATGATTGTGAAAGACGCCGTAGTGGAGGGCTCCGGAAATTTCGACCACCTGGGGTTCTTTAACGTGCACCCGAATCTGAGCACACGGGCCTACAACATTTCCGCCTCCATCTGAAATGCAGCCGCCGCAGCCGGGATTCGAACTCGCGACCTGCGGGTCAGCAGCCGAGTACCCTAATTAGCCACTAGACCACCGCGGCGGGGCGAGTAACAAGTACTTTAAATCGTTAAATACTTTTTCCAAACACATTGCGTGCAGTTGGTTGGCCGCTTTCCCTGGTGAGAAATGCTCAGGAGTATCAGCATTCGATGAAGTTTCATCTCACCAAGAATTCCAAGGCAAGATCCATTTCTGTGACTCCAGACCGAGTTTTATACGCTCAGAGTGCCATCACCATTAGTACAGTTTAAGGAGGCAAGAAAATCACAAACAATTTAAACGTTCACTGCATTGAATATTTCCTTTTCTCAGGTGAAGGAGACGTCAGGCTTCACTGTATGGGTGCTGACAGAAAAAAAAAGAAAGAAAAAGCCGCTCGAATCTTCCCACGAGAGGAACTCGAATAAGTGCGTCGCAGAGTGGTTGGGGGGGGGGGGGTATCGCGTGAATTTTGCGTAATTGGGTATGGTTTGGGAATGCTTAATAGGGGACTTACGTAAACACATGTCATAAACTTTTTGCCGCAGATTCACGTGATTTCGTGAACATGTAAGCATTATAGCCTACGTAATACAACATATGTTAAGGCGCAAGCGCTTTGCGCAGGCACTTTGCATAATTGTTCGGGGACTCGGTCGCTGGATTTCGTGCCGACCGGTTGTGTCCCCGCGATCTCCGACGACAGCGCAGCTCTGGCCGACCGGCTCGCCCTCCGCCATCTCCTGACGCCGTGCAGCTCTCGCTGAGTGGTGCCCCGTCCTCGGACTCCTGCGACAGTGTCCATCTTTCCTATCTTCTCCTTACTTCTGTATGTGGGTCTTTCTGTCTCTTTCCCTATCTCTATCTCTATGCCTCTTAATACTCCCCATCCATTTTAATCCCTCCTTACCCCTATCCCTCGTGAGCCACTGTTGAGGTGTCGCACTATGATGCAGACAGTTACGGCGGGGGCTCACTTTTATCTTTTTTTCTCTCTTTTAAGAATCACTTACACACATAATTGTTCAGTGTTAGCTTGAAATATATATATAAGAAAGCCCGCACGAATATCGTGACACACACGCGTGAAAAATAAGTAGTACACACATTAGGCATTCATCAAGAACCGTCTGATCACCTGGCTACAAGACACAGTCGAAAGTCATGCGCACACCTCTGTCGACCACCTACTGAAAACGACGTGACCACTGCCGTAAGAAAGTGTTCAAAATTTGTTTCTCGCACAGTGACGATCAATATGTGTTTAGAAATCGTGCTTAACAATTTAGAGTGCTAGGTGAGTGCTAGGTGATTAATGATTTGGAGTGCTAGGTGATTTAGAGAGCTAGGAGAACAGAAAACTGCCCCAGTCGAGTCATGTGAACCCAATAGCTATAGAGAGATCTACACCACAATACGCTGAGTCAGGACTACAATTTTTCGCTCATTTGTAAGTCGCATAAATCGCATGGCGGTATCGTTAAGTCTGTGGTATAATACCTCTGCCGATATGCTTGTTAAATGCTCTCTTTTTTAATATCAAGTACTGAAGCAATGAACAGTACTTTAACATCTGCCTTTCAACAGACATTTCCATTCAAGCGACCATTCTTTTAGAAAAACGAACGTGCACGTACATCTTTGCAAGAACCTCCGTTTATCCCCTTACACTGACGATAGTCAAAAATATATACATTTAGTTTGTAATATAAAAATAAACAAATAAAAAATTTGAACCTCCTTGAAAATAAACAACGTAAGTAAGCAAAAGCACTGGAAACTTCTCAGGAACTTCTTTGCAACTTCTCTGCATTTCAAATAAATTAAAAGTAAGTAAACGCGTTACGAACAAAAGAGCGTGGGCTTCACAGAAAAAAAAAAAAGACTGATTGAGCGTTTTTGCGTAGTTGGCGATGGTAAACTTTGTGCCGGTACGTGCGTCATCATAGCGGACAAGCTATTGTCGCAGTTTTTCTTTTTTACAATTAATATTGAAGCTGTATGTCGAGCAAAAAGTATTAGATGTGTACATACATAGTTGACAGCGGTGAAATCGTGTTCCCATCCGAGTTTGTTCGGCTACATGCACGCTCTGCAATTCATACAGTCTTCGCGTATTACGCTATAATGTAGGTGTTTCACGCGTGCTCTTGCCTGCTACTTCTATAGGCGCTAAGATACGCTATTTGTTACCGGGTGGTACAAGGCGTGACTCTGCACCGAACGTAGTTAACGTGCCTGCGTTTCAAAGTAGCATTTTATCGCCACGCGCAGAAGGTTTGTCCTGATGTGAACATTCTAATAATAAGCGCCACCATTGCTGGTCACATGTGTTAACGAGCGTGGTATATTATGCTTAAAAAAGAAAATACTAATGAAGTCATTGCCAAAAGAATCAAGCCCTGCATTAAAGCAAACTTGCAAAGAATAGTGAAATATGAAGAAAAATGTCACAGCAGAAACCGACTCATGCAACTGACCATCGCCAGCGCGAACAGGACGAAGGCGCTGACGACCATCTGTGAGCGTAGGCACTACGCGTCGGCCGTCTCTATGCGTGTATATACTTGCTTGAAGGAAATGCTTGAGAAAATAATAATCATCGTTGGGAAAATGCGCCAAGCGTCCAAGCATCTGAACATTCCACGATGGCACACCCTCGTGACATGTATACTGGCTTCGGTTCGAAAGCACCCGAGCTGAAATCCTCGCTTCGGAACGTTTTGATTCATATTTATAGTGCACGTAGCCTGACGTCACACATGCGTTGGGTGTGTGGATGACGTCACACCATGACGTTGATCGTCCGCTCATCCGGAATGCGTCGCGCGAGCCAAGGAAATGCCCTTCAAACTTAAAAACGAGTGCCTCCACCATCATTCTCGGCTCAGTGTTATGAGAGAGAGAAAGAGAGAGAGAGAGAGAATGAAACGGTCATTTGGTGTTCAGTGTGGTAAGTGAGATCCTTAGTCCGGGGTCCCATAGAGGCGCGGGCCGCTGTTCTCGCACGTTGTACGAAGGCCTATTGGGTCTTCGGATCCGAGCTGGACGGATTGTGTTAACACGAAAAACACCCCGTGGGTGGTAGTTCTCCCGGGTGCTGCACTCGAATATCACAGCATGCATACGAGGGAGCGAGACGAGACATGTGCAAGCGTGCGAATGACTGCATAGGTACCTCCTCAGTTGCTATAGTTGCAGAACCAATGTGCGTCCTTATATTTAATGTGTTGAGGCACGTGCATGTTGTAGCACGGCTTCCTTTTTTTTTCAGTCTTCATTATCCTCGCGTGCATGTGTGGCCCCTCGATTCGGTCTTCAGTATGGTTTCTTGCTTTCTTGCGCGGTATTCCCTCCCTTTCGATGTGAATAAACAGTTGAGACTTAGCGCGTGTCTCTTCTGCCTTTATTTTGTGCTTTCCTATACACTATCACCTAATTAAAAATTATGCTTGACGAGCTTTCTCTATGCTGCAAGTTTGTGCTTCTGTTTCACTCAACGCAGCCACTGATCTTCGCTATCTTTATGTAAGTTCCTAAACTGCTCAACTGCTTCTTAAAAACCCCATCGCGACATTACTTTCAATTACGAAGCGTGATTTCGGTATATCACACTTCCGTGTAAATATGCGTGTGCATATATATACGTGTATTTGCGGGTTTGTACTTATTATTCGTGCGTGCATGTTACTGTGTGTATTGTCTGGTCAAGCGAAGCCATAAACCCTATAACATCTCTGGGAATATCATTGAAAAATTGCTTGTTATAGTGTTGGTGTGCTCATTGCATGTGAGAGTAAACTGCAAGAACAGAAGTGAACGACGACTACGGCGAAAGGAAACAGAAGCATGCTGCAACCGAATACATAGCCTCGACTTCCTTTCACTGTTCTCGTACGAGAATGAATGATGTAGTTACGGTTGGTGGTTTGTCTTGGGTTAATTGGCAGTAGCGCAATCAGAACGCCGCTCTGGGTCAAGGCATGTGCATGTGTACGCCTGCTGGGAGATAGGAAATAGAGCCGAGTATAGAGCGCACGCTGTTTTAGCTTTTCTCGCTCGGTATCACGCACATTTGCCACCATGCGTGATCTATCCACGCTATAGCGCGCGCGTTGCCTGTCTTTCAGATATGCACGAAAAAAAAAAAACGAGCATTAGCATAACTTCACATGCACATCGTCAATTAATACGTGGCGTCAGGCGTGAAATAGGCCTTGTGAATGAGGTTGTGTGTGATCGGGGCCGAGCTGCGCGGGACGTCTTAATTAATTCCGCTGACCGAGGCAGATAAAGTTTTAGTAGTTTCCAACTCCTGTGACTTTCCCATCACGGGCATAGCCGCGCGCCATTTTCTTCCTGGAAGAGAGAGGGATAGAATGAGAAGTTATGAGAGGCTTTCAAAGTATGCGACTCTCTCACCGCCATCTACCTCTCTCCTCTTCTTTTTTTTTGCTTAACCATTTTTCTTCTGCGTCATAAAACAAATCTTTCTTACCTTTGGTCCAGGGTGGCAGTGTAGTTTCTTCAACCCGTTTCTACTTGACACGTGGCTATATAACTCTCGGATACTTTACAACTCCTCCATTAACTGCCGTGCAATAGGTATACTTGTTGCAACACTGCGGCAAGGGCGCAACCTGCTTTACGGTTCCCAAGAAATAAATGAGCAACAGAAAAAATAAGGACGATTTCGAGCGCTTTCCAGCTGCGCACACACGCCCACGGCGTTTGCCTTGTGCTGAATGGGCACTCGTGCAGAGCGGTCAACTTACTTAACCTAAAGGAAGGTTTACACAGACGTAATGGATTTATCGTCCGCAGTTCGTGTTTCGTTTTCTGCAACCTTTTACGTCCTTTCGGCAAGCTTTTCCTGGCCGTTGATATGGTGTGTGTGTGTGTGTGTGTGTGTGTGGTGTGGTGTGTGTGTGTGTGTGTGTGTGTGTGTGTGTGTGTGTGTGTGTGTGTGTGTGTGCGCGTGTGCGCGTGTGTGTGGTTGCCTTGCCTCTTACATTCTCTTTCATTCTTCCATTCCTTCGCGCCTTCCAAGTACTCCGATGGAGGCGGAAGTGTCGTAGGCCCGTGTGCTCAGATTTGGGTGCACGTTAAAGAACCCCAGGTGGTCAAAATTTCCGGAGCCCTCCACTACGGCGTCTCTCATAATCATATGGTGGTTTTGGGACGTTAAACCCCTCAAAATCAAATCAACCTTCCAAGTACGCGTTCGCTATTCAACCTCATGCCGATCTTTTCTGTCTGAATAAGGACCTTTCATTTACCTTCTCTCTCTCTCTCTATGATTTTCTGGGCATTCGCGGTACACGCTGCTATGTGTGCTAGTGTATTACCTTATCTTTTTTCCTTCTCTATTCTTTTACTACCCTTTCCCCGTGTGTGGTAGGAAACCGAGTTCAACCTCCCTGCCTTTCCTTTGCTTTTCTCTTCTGTCTCTCTCCCCCTATAGTTGTTGCTGTGATACACTTATAGAAAGGGTATCTGAAGAAGACAATGACTGAAGTGATGCGATAAAATAAAGAAGTTACGCGAGCATAACGTGGTTTCGCCTGGCTTAGTTAACAGTTAACACTGGTAATCACACATTATTGAAATAAATTCATTTATTCTACTGCCAATGCAAATACAATAATGATTGATGAATGATGATGCCGTGTTATAAACTTAACTATCATGTATAACAATATATGTGTTCTTAAAAGAAAACCCGGAGAACCCGAGCGCTAGCGTGTGTAATGTAAATCCCTCTTTGTATCGTCACTGTTTTTTTTTTCTCTAATTCGTATCCCTTTTCGTCTGTTCGTGGGAGGGCTAGTTGTTATATGAGGTAATAACTTGCTCACGTATTATTTTTCTGTTGCACCAATGTGCGTTTTCAAAAGCGACGTGTTTTGTTCCTTCATAATACAATTATTCATGAATATTAATAGCTACTCAAGGCTACATATACACGTAATTAACCTTGAATGCCCTATAAGCGTGTTCTTTCCATCTGGAAAAAAATCACAGCATATCCACGGAGTGAATGATGATGAGTGGGCGAAGCACTCGTTCGTCTATGCTTCCATGCGCCCGTCTGTCCGTTAGTTCGTGCTCCCGTCCATCCGTGCGTTCGTCCGTCCGTGCGTCCAATCAAGCACAATCCCACAAGCGCACTCCTCCACGCACGGTGATGATCCAAGAGAATGACAGAGATAACGGGAGCGAGCGCCCTTTCGTGGCGCTCGCACCCCACGCAGCCCGCGCAGCAGCCAATTGGAGAGCAGCTGCACCTCCAGCACCATCTAGTGTACATGCAACTAACCGCCATATTGCATGTGTCTCTCTGGGACAGCGCCATCAAACTAGACGAGAAATGGCGATGACTACACAAAATGCGAACAGCACCATCTATTGAATGATAAGGGAGACGCTACTGGGGTGATACACCGGATGGAGCGACGCCGATCGACGACAGACTGGGTCAAGCTATAAAGAGCTTCGCCCCTAAAACGTTACCCAGTGTCCAAAGCTGCACTGTGGCACGCCGTGATGAGCCGGAAGTGAGAGCTCTTCATGTTTTATACGGCATGTATTTATATTTCCATCAAAATGTTACGTCTACTTTCGGCGGAGTAATTTCCGGGCTTCGTATGATCGTCCGTCACCCTTGCACTTCCTTCCAGGAAAAAAACCTCCCCGCGTTAAGAAGCTTCCTTTTTGTGACAAGGCTTCGTGACGCAACAGAGAGGGCAAAACTATTTTCGGCTCTAAACAGGGGTGCCGGGAAAGGGTGACAATACATCCGGCATTTCGGAGCTGAATAGATGCATCCTATAAGTACGCGCGGAAAGCAAACGCCTGTTGAAAGTTCGGAGGACTCACAGTTCCTTACATTGTTTCGAAATTCTAACACACTGTTACACATAGCGGCAGATATAATTGACACCCAGTGGTATACGCAAATAAAGCAATCGATAAACTATAAGGATCAGGGCTGACATGGCACTACTGATACAATGAGTGGAGTAAATACGTGTAAGTAACACTACATACACATCTAATAGCAGCGAGAAATATAAGCCGACTCACTTGCAGAAATAATATAAAAAATTATTGCAGCACGTTGCAGTGCTCCAGCTAACAGAAGACCGCGCTGTATATGGTCGATGTCCAGTCATGCTGTATTTACAACTTGCACAGAGTAGAATGTTGTAATTTGCAATGTGTAGTGCAGACCCTGGGAAGGTAATAAAGGGTTGTCAATGTGAGGCATTCATTATATGGAAAGCAACACGAACTTTCAGAGGCAGTATTTGGGTTCACCTAGACCACCAACAACAAAGTGATTATTTTCAGGGCTATAGGATTGGGAAACAACCACTTCAGCAGTAAAACAGGACGTGAAAACAAGTGCCCCATTGTTGGGACGCCGCAGACTTCGCCTAAAGCTATACTTATACTCGGCTATAGTTACATTCAAGTCATACCTTTAGTCAAGTAACTAAGTCAAACTTTTACACAATGAACACGGTGATGAGGAATTTTCGATTAGGAGGCAATAAACAAAAAAAATATGTTGCCAATGACTAAGTGTTAGGAATATACGTTTATGACAATTTTTTTTGTTTGCTCATGCGGTCGAGAAAGATCCACATGAGCTACTGGTATTTATGCGCATGTTTGAGATAGGGGTATGCATTATGTATTGGTGCATATATGGCTAATCAGCAGGTGAGGGAAGCCGAGCTCTACCTTTACTGTCGGGGCGTCGGTAGGTGAAGGGGCTGCATAATAGATTGTGCAACATAGCTCCCTGCAGAAGAAGCTTTTCATTTCTACCTCTTATTGCTCTTCCAGGCACAACAGAACAGATCGTGTCGTCTACAGCATCATCATCATCATCATCATCATCATCATCACCACCACCACCACCACCATCATTCACAGTCTATTTGCCCCTCTCAATAATCTCCAGTTCATCCTCTTTTGCGCCGCTGCGCGAGCTGATGTTCAGTGACGAGACCATCACGCGAAGCGTCTGTCGCTCTTTGTTTGTATTTCTCTTGTGCATTCTGTTCCACCGGCGTCGCCGTCTGCAGGCCCCATGCTATTGTTGCGCCCGTGCGCGCCTTTTTCCAGTGGACATTACGCGCGCCCGTGCATTGCGCAGCCGATCGCCTTTGCGCGCCACATTCGGTCCGCCTCGGAAACAAGTTCCTCCCCGTTCGTGTATATAGTATTTCCGCCTCGCGTCTCTGCCAGAGAGGCATTAGTCACGGCTACTTCGAGAGCCGCAAAGCGATCGTGCAGACACATATGCGCGCGCGCACGCAGCCAACTTCGTGATACGAGAATCGCCAAAACACGAATTGCGGAAGACGGAAAAAAAGGAGAATCTGGCAGCTAGGACATACGTTCGAGAAGCGTGGGATAAGAGAAAAAAAAAACAGAAAAAAAGAAAGGGGAAACCCTGACCTTCTCCGGAATGAAGTTGGCTGCACGCTGAGCGCCAACGAAACTGCAGCGCCTCCTGACGGATTTACGCGTATACTTGCGCGAGGAAAAGACAAAGAGCACATAAAACCACTGGCGTAAATTATTAGGGGTGAGGGGGAGGGAGCAAGTCAAGTGGGTCCAGACACTTTTGTGTTCGGGCTGAGGACACCTCTTGCAAGTGTCCTCTCTTCCCTCTACCTCAATATTTATATTTCAGAAATCGCTCTTAAATTAAATTGCTCGATCGTGGCGCTTGGTACCGGTGCTGCCTTAATGAGCGGTTAACATTGTCGTTTTGTGTCTTTAACGACTGAACGAACAATGCTACGGTGAAAGCGGTTATAGCGGTGCATTGGACGGTTTCATGACATTATCAATTCATGTCGCGATACACACGGAAATAAGAAAACAGGTATAGCGATATATAGGTGTTCACATGTCTTACGTAGAACCATCTAATCACTGAAATCTGAAGCCTTTTCAAAGAGCAGGAAGAAAGCACGAAGGTTAAAGCTAGTTGAAGCTAGTTATCTTTTGAATAGGCTGTGCGAAACACGAGCTCTCTGAAATGCAACGGATTGATGTGGCGCGAAGTGGCTTATTACGCTCGGTTTAAAATCAAAATCAAGCAAACAAAATGTCCGATCATCTGCAGTTATTTAATTATGTCGAATATTTGATCGAAGCCACTGAAGATGAAGTATCAACCGATCGTTTCTCGAAGGTCATCTCGTCATTAAAAAGTGATGCTCGTTTTCCCTTGAAATGCCATTCAAAGCGCCAATATATATATATATATATATATATATATATATATATATATATATATATATATATATATATATATATATATATATATATATATATATATATATATATATATATATATCATACATAACAAAGTTGTGTCTATACCATTGTGAGTTTCTTCCATTTACGCCGCTTCAAACACTGAAAGGCGAAAGTCTCATACACTGTACATCGCGTGTATTTATATTCTCGCCGTACCTTCGGAAAGACGAATAGCTTTACGGGGAGACAGTTGAAGTGGCGTCGGGTTTCGAATTTCCATCGCACGTGGGGTGGCGGCTTGACTTGGAAGTTGCAGATCTGGTCTGGGACGACGCCCATCGGGGGGTGGGGGGTACACGTATAACACGTTCGCCCCTTTTGGGTGAGTGGAGAGTCTGTCGCTTGACGCAGGCGTTGCAACGCCCCGGAAAACGTTCGATAACGGT